TTTGAATTGTATTACCATAGTTTAAGGTCAAGACATGTGGTTTCTGCTGCTTTTCCATCTTCTTAAACAAGGCCAAAATATTTTGGATCATTAAATAGATCAACATCAGAATATCTTATTTTTATGTTTATATCATTTTGGCTGAGAGGAACTTCTCCTGCAAAAGATAATTTAGTTGCTCCAGTTCCAAAGCTATTATTTACATTAAAAAATTTTTTCAAGTATTTAACACAATTTTCACCTTAAAAATCAAGTCTTTCATCTGTCGCATGAGGAAAAAGAAATACCATCATTAGAATGGGTTTCATATTTGTTTTTATTTTAATAATGACTTTTTCTTTAATTACATTGAAATTTAAATACATTAAAATAATTCTATTTATTAGTAGTTTGTTTTCTTATTATCCAATTACCAATTATTATAAAACAAATCTTTCCATAAAGTGAGAATAAAAATAAGAATCCAAATTTCATAGTTTGATTAGATGTATCAGAAATTTACATCTCAAACGAGAATGCAATAAAAGAGCGTGAGGAATCAGAAAATGGAAATAGAGGAAAAAAAAGAAAAATTGATAAATTTTGGCGAATACTACATTTTAAATTCTTAAATATATGATATAATTCTAGAAACTTCTAATAGATACGAACAATAGAAGGAAAAGAAATAAAATATGTTTCAGAAAACAATCAAATCCTCTTCCTACCAGAGTTTATTATGAAATTTTAGCTATATATAATTGTTTAGAATATTTATTTTTTTTATAGGAGAAAATAATAGAAGTATGATTATGATTAGGATTCAGTTATAATAGAAATAAAGGTATTTTTTGAATTATAAAGATGTATGAACATTTCGTCATACTTTTGCTCTTCAATTTGACCTATTTTTATGGTATTTTTAATTCTTTAGTGATTTATAATACAAAGTAGTTTTTGGAGATAAGGTAATTAGATTTTCTTTATATTACTAATAATCAATATAAAAATTCTCCTAAGTTTTACAATTTAAAAAAGAAAAGTCATTAAATACATTTTATATAGAAAGAAGAAACAGAAAATAATCATCATCAGCAGGTAGTAAATTTGGCTATGATTGCAGGGGAAATTTGCAAGATTATGTGATAACATCTTAGCAAATATTAATAAAAAATATGCCAGCATATTAATACTGTTTAAATGTTAAAATTTATAAGTGTACAATTTTAATAGGTAAAAAATGATCAAATTATTATTTATTAATTTAATTATTATAAATTGAAGGCTAAGGAAATTAAAAATACTTAAATTCTTTTCAGAATATTTTACTTAAAGTACTCAACTTACCAAGACCTAACCTCATTTAAGCATTAATAATCGGAGAATAATTTATTGAAGTTGCCATTAGAAATTACATTAAATATTCTAATAATTATAAATGAAATACATTAAACTTATTCAACACGTTTTACTATAGAAAACAGTACATCGATTTAAAATAGATTTCTTAAATGAAGACTGATTAAAGTTTGAAATATTTATCATATGGCAGAGCATCTCTAAAATTGTTGCAATAAATGATATTATTTGCCTGTATTTATTAAGGTAAGTTTTCATTCTTTCTATCTTTAAAGAAATACAAAATATTTTTTCTTCAACAATTCTTTTGATTAAAGGCTATAATTTTATTTTGTTTGAATTTCCCTTTATTAATTTATATACATTCATTTTCAATATAATATTCAAACTTATTTTCTAAGTCAAAAATCAAATTTAAGGAATTTACAAGAAACAAGATAATATGTTTATTAAAGAAAGATTTATAGGGTTATGATATCAAATAAAATCAGTTGCACTCATTCATCAATATACACATAATTATAATAATTATTGAGATTAAGAAATTATGTTAATTTTGTTTCTTTTGGAAATGCAATGAATTTTAAGTTTTTGATGAAAAAGTAATATTAAAATATAGACCAATGTTTGTTTTATTATCTTTATTAAAAAAAATCAAAATGAATGGACTTTAAAATTTTATTACAGAGGGATCAATTCTAAGTAATTAAATTATTATTTAAATCCAAATGAATAATTATTTGGAACTCGATAGGGTTCTATTGATTTTGTAAGAGATTAGTGAAAGTAATGTTAAGAAAATGAAATAATAATAATAAAAAGGATATTTTAATTGCAATATATGATTTTATTTTCTATAAATGAAATTCACTTTTCTTACCCTAATTGTAGTTACAATCAAACATATTTTCAGCCTTTTACAAGGCCCAAAATAATAACCTTCTCTTGATTTACTAGTTTCAAAGCTTAAAAACTATGAACATATTCTGAACAAAATTTGGTAATTGGATAAAATCCATCAGTCAAACCTGGTTTGCATAACTATAATTACTAAAAAAAGTAGATAATACTTCATGCATTTATAATTATAACATAGATCTGTTATTATGATTGAATGGGATCCAAACAAAACTAGGCATTCTCTCAGATAATTTCTCTGAATTAAACATTTTTACTTTTATCATACAAGCAAATCGATTTATTTCGAGATCTTTAAAATCCTAATAACTCATGATTGAGATAACGAAAGCAAATAAAAAGATTTATATTTATTTAATCTCTATGTAACATCATTACAATCTGATAATAAATGATTTAATATTCTATACTTCTAATTTAAAGTCAAAATTTATTAATTCTATCTGTTATACTAATGAAAATAACAACTTATATTTAATTAATTAAAGTAAAATTTTCCATTCTTTCGCAAAATTTGGTTCTTAATTATGTTTGAGGCGCAATTGAATTTTAGAAAAATCAATGAATCAAAAATGAGCAAACATGTCTGTGCTAAATTCCATCAGTTTACATTTCAGAATTAGTTAGTGCAGTTTTGAAATACATTAAAAAATTTTATAAAAATAATTGAAGCTGTATTAAACTATTCATGATTCTTGTTAAGAACTCACCAAATTAGGATTTATTAATATCAATTATTCGTTTTACAATAATTCAGAAACATTATTTTATAAATTTATAAATCCTTTATACTTAAATAATTTTAATTAAAATTAAAAAAATCACCAACCCGGAGACTTGAACTCGGATCTTTACTGCTAGAGAGCAATGTTTTACCACTAAACTACTTGATGATACTTATAATAATAATAGAAGATGCCTTAAAAATGAAATCGAAAATTCTTTTTTCTTCTCTTGTAATTTTTTACTGACTTGAGATGAAAATCATATTTATTAAAATCAATTTGGGCAAGAGAAAATTACCTACTTTCAGTATATATTAATTTTCAAATAATTACATAAAAAGTATTTATTATAGTTATATTTTGATTTTATTATAGATAATAGTTTATTTGCACAAGGTTTTATTAAATAAGAACTTTAAAAATACACAATTTACACAAGTATCAGTTTCTTATCATATCAATTAATATTTTTGAGGTTAGATAATTGCATTAAATGACATTATAATAACAGCCAATTCTTCTATAACAGAACGATTAGTATTTTAATTAATCAAATGATGGTATTAAACTGTAAAATATCAAAATTTTGATTTGTAAAAATTTGTAGATAAACTACAACCTATTGGCTTTTTTATTAATAACTATATTAAAAATTGATAAAAATCTTTATAATTTTAAGAATTAATAGTTTTATTATAGAAAGCCTTGTATTATCAATAAATCAATTTTAAAGAGAAAATAAATAGTCGATTAATGTACGTTTAGTAAGATAAATTTATATGCTAAAGGCTAATATCAATTAATTTGTAGTGTTGGAAGTAGTGGAGTAATGAATTAAAGCAGAGAAAATTATCACAAGACTGTCAAATATTAAAGCAATATGGAAAATATCTGTTCAAGGAGGAAGTTTGAAATTAAAATGTTGGAAGAATCCATTTAAATTTGGTTTAGATATTCATTGAATATGAAAATCATAAAGAAATATTTATTAATAAATGATTTCATTTTAATTGTTTAGAATTTATCGTGACTTAATAATCAATTTAAAATCAGTTAATAGTTGAATTAAATCCTGTATATATATTGGGTTCTATTAACACTACTACAACTAAAGCAATGTTATTGCCCTTACCTATTAATTCTTTTAGTGTATACTACCTAAACTGCTTAAAAGGACTTGGTTGGTACTAATATCTTACTCTAATTGTACTTTAACTTGCTCTTCATATTCTTAGATTAGTTACTAATTGTTTCGAGTGCTCCATTTTGAAATTTTGAGCTAGTTGATTCCATCCTAAAATAAGGTTTAAAAGGAAATTTGGATAAGCCTTAAAAATATTAGATATTACAGTAGAATATAAAAATAATAATCATTGTTCCTTTTGGTGTTAAAAGGGAAAATAATTTATATCTAAGTAAATGCCAAAGATTTATTTTCTTTTATTCTTGACACTTTTTTTAATAATGAAACCTAATCCCACTTAAATTATTAAATGCTTTCATGGCAAAAGAAGAAATCCTACAAATATCATAAATTTATTGTCACTTTTTCTCTAAATAATGTTTATATTATATAAAGAATATATATAATCTAAAAATGATAATGGTAGTAAACGCATTCTAGTAGAAAAATGAAAAAAAATTCTTCCTAGCTACTACGACACCAGTCCTTTGCCCAACCTATACTACATATACGGCGCCATACTAGTAGTAAGAAGTAGCAAGAACCAAACCCTTGATGAGCAATAAATCTCTAACTTACTAAAACAATATATATTTTCTCAATCTCATCCAAAAATTTACTCAATCTCTTTTAGCTCAACTAACATTTTACCCTCTCATTTTCAATCTCCTTTCTTTCATATAATTCAAACCCAATAGATTTAAAAACTAGAAGAAACTGTTATTTTATTCCATAGAAGGGGTGTATTTTTTTTCATTCAATCAAATATATAATTAGAAAAAATCGAATGAAATAATTAATTTATTTAAACAGAATAATATTTAATAAAATTAAGGATGTATATTTCTAAGGAATTCTAAAAGTACAAGATAGGTATATAAAAATTTATGATATTCAGCTTCAATTTAGTACTGTTATGGAATTTTAGGATTCAACAATAAATTAAGATTAATTGGGTTGGAAAAGTCAGAAAAAATCAAATGTGCTTTATTATCGCAGAATAAAAAAAAAGATGTAATAGCTAACGATGAAAATATTCCATTATATCCCGAGTAAAATAAAGAATAAAACAATGAAACTAGATAAAGGAAGAGAAAATAAGTGGTAGAATATCATTTAAAAGTAAAAAACAACATGAACAGATTATAATCAGAGATTTTCAATCATATGAATAGATTAGAAGGAACTTTAGAAAATTATGATTTAGGAATTTAGAAAAACCCAAAAAATTCTAATTATTACAACAATAAAGGTATAATTTTACATAAACAATTTTTAAGCTAATGTTTTAGAAAAAATGAACAGATTAGAAGAGGCTTTAGAAAACTATAATTTAGCAATTTAGAAAAACCCAGAAAATTCTCCCTATTACAACAACAAAGGTATAATTTCATATATGGAATTTGTAGCAAAAGTTTTAGAAAAAATGAACAGATTTTAAGAGGCTATAGAAAATTATAATTTAGCAATTGAGAAAAATCCAGGAGATTCAAGATATTACTACAACAAAGGTATTTATTATAGTTATAAATCATTGTGCAAAAGCTTTAAATAAAATTAACAGATACGAAGAAACCTTAGAAAATTATGATTAAGCAATTTAGAAAAACCCTGAAAATTCTAATTATTACAACAACAAAGGTATAATTTCTTATAAATACTTTATAAGCAAATGTTTTAGAAAAAATAAACAGATTAGAAGAAGCTTTAGAAAACTATAATTTAGCAATCTAGAAAAACCCTGAAAATTCTCACTATTACAACAACAAAGGTATCATTTAATATAATGAATTTGTAGCTAAAGTTTTAGAAAAAATGAACAGATTAGAAGAAGCTTTGAAAAATTATAATTTAGCAATTCAGAAATAAGGAGAAAATTCTCACTATTACAATGACAAAGGTATAATTTATATTTTAATTCTTAGCTAGTGTTTTAGAAAAAATGAACAGATTAGAAGAGGCTTTGGAAAATATTGATCTAGCAATTAATATTTCTCCAGAAAATTCTGACTCCTACAACAATAAAGGTATAATTTATATGTGTAAATTTATTAGCTGCTATTTTAAATAAAATGAATAGATTAGAAGAAGCTTTAGAAAATTACAATTTAGCAATTTAAAAAAATGAATAAGATTAGTATTATTACTACAACAAAGGTACATAATAATATGCATAATTTCTAAGCTAACAATCTAAATAAAATGAACAGATTAGAAGAAGCTTTGGAAAATTATAATACAGCAATTTATAAAAATCCAGCATATGCTGACTTTTTTAACAACAAAGGTATAATTTAAAATTTATAATTACTTAGCTAGTATTTTAGATAAAATGAATAGATTGCAAGAAGCTTTGGAAATTTATAATTTAGTAATTGAGAAAAACCCTGAAGATCCAAGAGGTTACAACAATAAAGGTATAATTTAATAATTATTATTAATTAGCAATGATTTTAAATAAAATGAACAGATTAGACGAAGCGTTGGATAATTTTAATTTAGCCATTTAGAAAAACCCAGAAGATTAGAGATATTACTACAACAAAGGTATATTTGAATTGATAATTTCTAAGCTATTCTTTTAAATCAAATGAATAGATTAGAGGAGTCTTTGGAATATTATGATTCAGCCATTTAAAAAAACCCAGAAAATTCCTGATTATTTTACCAACAAAGGTATAATTGAATTTATTATTTATAATTTCATAGCAATTGTTTTAAATAAAATGAATAGATTAGAAGAAGCCTTAGAAAACTATAATTTAGCCATTTAGAAAAACCCAGAAGATCCAAAAGGTTACAATAACAAAGGCATAATTTAATATGTATAATTTTTAGCTACCATTTTAACTAAAATGAACAGATTCGAAGAAGCTTTAGAAAATTATAATTTGGCAATTTAGAAAAGTCCCGAAGATTCAAGATATTACTACAACAAGGGTATAATTTGATACCTATAATTTCTAAGCTAATGTTTTAAGTAAAATGAGCAGATTAGAACAGGCTTTGGAAAATTATAATTTAGCTATTTAGAATAACCCAGAAAATTCTGATTATTTTAATAATAAAGGTATTATATAATAAATATAATTTATTAGCTAGTGTTTTAGAAAAATTGAACAGATTTGAAGAAGCCTTGCAAAATTATAATTCAGCAATTTCGATAAAACCAGAAGATTCTGACTATTTTAACAACAAAGGTATAATTTATAATTTATAAGCTAATGTTTTAAATAAAATGAACAGATTATAAGAGGCTTTGAAAACCTATGATACAGCAATTTAGAAAAACCCAGAAAATTCTGAATATTTTAGCAACAAAGGTATAATTGAATAAATCTAATTTCTAAGCTTTTGTTTTAAATAAAATGAATAGATTTGAAGATGCTTTGAAAAATTATGATTTAGCAATTTAAAAAAACCCAGAAAATTCCGACTATTTTTCTCACAAAGGTAATAGCTAATCTATATAATTTTCAAAGCTAATGTTTTAAATAGTATGAACAGATTAGAAGAAGCTTTGCAAAATTATAATTAAGCCATTTAGAAAAACCCATAAAATTTCATAATATTACGATAATAAAGGTATAATTTAAATATGCATAATTTTTAGCTTTTGTTTTAAATAGTTTGAACTGATTAGAAGAAGCCTTAAAAAATTATAATTTAGCCATTTAGAAGAAACCCAGAAGATGCTGATTATTGCATCAACAAAGGTATAATTTTATATGTATAATTCCTAGCTGTTGTTTTATTTTTAGAGCTTAATAAGGAGATTTTAAATAAATTAAACAGATTAGAAGAAGCTTTAAAAAACTATGATTTAGCAATTTAGAAAAACTCAAAAGATTCAAGATATTCCTATAATAAAGGTTTAATTTAATATATATAATTCTTAGCTGATGTTTTTGATAGTTTGAATAGATTAAAAAAAAAAATGAAATATTATGATTTTGCAATCTAGAAAAACCCATAAATTTCCTATTATTATGATAACAAAGGTATAATTTAATATGCAAAATTTTTAGCTTTTGTTTTAAATAGTTTGAACAGATTAGAAGAAGCCTTAGAAAATTATAATTTAGCCATTTAGAAAAACCCAGAAGATGCTGATTATTACAGCAACAAAGGTATAATTTCATATGAATAATTTATAAGCTGCAATCTTAAATAGTATGAACAGATTAGAAGAAGCTTTGAAAAATTATAATTTAGCCATTTAAATAAAGCCATATGTTTCTCACTATTACAACTAAAAAGGTATCATTTATTTTTATAATTTCTTAGCAAGTGTTTTAGAAAAGATGAATAGATTAGAAGAAGCCTTGAAAAATTATAATTTAGCAATTTAGATTAACCCAGAAGATCCTGAATATTACAACAACAAAGGTATAATTAATATGTATAATTTCTTAGCTTGTGTTTTATAAAAATTGAATAGATTAGAAGAAGCTCTGAAAAATTATAATTTATCAATATTGAAAAACCCAGAAAATTCTGACTATTACTACAAAAAGGGTATCAATTAATATGTATAATTTTTTAGCTTAAATTTTATAAAAAATGAATAGATTGGAAGAAGCTGAGAAATGTTTTAATTTATCAAATGAATTAGTACTAAAAGCACAAAACTGCCACACCAAAACTAATTTAGATAATTCTAATTATCATTCAATATTGTAAGACTTCCATTAATGATAAATATTTATATTTATAAAATAAGTTATCTTCTATTTTTAGTTTTAGTTTTTATTCTCCAACTCTTAATAAATATATAATCTACTTTGATTATGACAATTTTTGCACAGCGTTATATATTAGATCTTCTGACAAGCTAGATTTTAACATAAATATGATTAAATGGAATTTAATTTCACATAGTATTTTATGATCAAGACATCTCTAAGGTAAAGATTAAAAAAAGAGTTTTTTAATTTGAAGACTTTGAAGTTCTGTCCCTGGTAGATACTTCTCTATTTCATGATACTCTAGTTTTGCTTTCCTGCATTTCCTTGTATTACCATGTAACAATTTATTACTTCTAAAGGTGGTCTTTTTTTATTTCAATAGTATGAATTCAATACTATGTTTTTACTTATTTTTTATCTCAGGATAGCTTAAATTAATCCAGCAGATTTTTTATCCATTCATCTTTTCATCTGAACACTTAGTTTCTATTTTACCAATCGTTTGCCAAAATAAAATCGTTAATAAATTCTGCAACATCAATATAATTTGGCTCTCTTGTTTCTTTTCTTTGTTCTCCTTTTTTTTTTGCCTTCTTTTTGTGTTTGCGGTTGTTGTTCTTCGTGGTTGTTTTGTTTTTGTTCTTTTCGTTTTTTCGTGTGTTTTTTGCGGTGCTGCCCTCTTTTGCTTGTTCTTTTTGTGTTTTGTCTGTGGCCGTGGCGTTTTCTTTTTTTGTTGGGGGTTGGGTTTGGGTTTGGGGTTGGGGTTGGGGTTGGGGTTTGGGGTTGGGGTTGGGGTTGGGTTTGGGTTTGGGGTTGTGAAAGGGGTTGGGGTTTGGGTTTGGGTTTGGGGTTGGGGTTTTAAGGGG